ATATGTCAATATTATTAAGTTTAAAATTTCTATTTCCAGAAAATATTAATGAAAATGTCAGTGAATATTATTATTTTCATGGTAGAGCAAGTACATTCAAAAAGAATAAAACTCTAAAAAGTGGATGTTGCAAATTTCAGTCACCATGTAAGAAAAAAAAGGTCAATTAACATTGCAGCAAAAATTGACCCTGTGAAATAACAACTAATGGAGCTTGGTCCCTCTGCTTCAATAATGGCATCCAGGAGCTCCTTTGCTCACTACTACTTTGTTCTTTCTGTTGTGACTCATTCTGCATACTGGCCCTGAGGAAACCATGCTAAAATCTCACAGGCATCTATATCTACTTGACCTCTCTGAAACACAGCCACCAAAACAACAACTGTTAATGTGAGCACCAGACTTTTGTACTAATAGTGTTTTGAATGGGATTTGGTGATTTATTCTCATCATCAGGTACTTTGTTAGAGATGTGGTTGAGGTGTGATACACTTGGGATGTCATAACATTTGAATTCGGTATTTTAGAGGGAAGAGCGGAAAGAGGAAAATGAAATGAAACTGCACGTGGTAGTCACTGACAGACAGATGATAAGGCCACTGTAATAAAGGACTCCAAAACTACAAGCTGAACTGAAGACAAGGGCAATGTGGGTAGAAAGGCCTTTACAGACATCTTTCTGAGTCAGCCCTAGGAGGATTGATGTGCAATGTACTGTTTGGTAAATCTCATATAACTGCTTGCAGCAGTATTTTTTTCCTCATTAATTCTCATGCATTTCCCTGTAGTTTACATAGTCTTGTGCAGAAAGTAACCATTCAACTTATCTTCCATTGCAAACACTGATCTTCAGGGTACACTCCTTCTGGTGGATATTCTTTCCACTTAGTATCAGACCTAGTCAGTGCTAGAAAGGGCTGACTGGCAGAATGAAACAGGCATAGTTTTGTAATCCCAGTACAATTTCAATTTCCTGAAATCATTTTGTCTGTATAGTTCATGCTGATAAAATAAGGTATACCACAAAGAGTATGCCATGTATGTTCATGTAACCATCTAATTACAGTGTTTGCTACATTAAAAATGTTGCAGAATCATAGAATAGTTAGGGTTGGAAAGGACCATAAGATCATCTAGTTCCAACCCCCCTGCCATGGGCAGGGTCACCTCACACTAAACCATCTCACCCAAGGCTCTGTCCAACCTGGCCTTGAACACCGCGAGGGATGGAGCATTCACAGCTTCCCTGGGCAACCCATTCCAGTGCCTCACCACCCTAACAGGAAAGAATTTCTTCCTTATATCCAATCTAAACTTCCCCTGTAAGTTTTAACCTGTTACCCCTTGTCCTATCACTACAGTCCCTAAAGAAGAGTCCCTTCCCAGCATCCTTATAAACCCCCTTCAGGTACTGGAAGGTTGCTTCAAATCAAACTAAATGTTTTGGGTTTCAGTCTAGCTTAAGAGAATTACTTTCTGCTGATCTGACTTAAAATTTACCAATAATAAATACTGTGTTAAGTTACTCTGTTAAAGGTAAATAGAGAGGTGCCAGCTCCTATATTCCTTAGATGGCACATGCTGAAGACTAGCCCACCTTACAAATGTGTACTTAGGCCAAACAAAAGCTAAAAAGACAAAAGATTAGTTTTATTTTCTGTTGTATAGCTTGAATTCTTCCTTGTTCAGTGTATGACAAAATAAATCCAATTGTGTGGCTACTAAATCCAAGCAGTATAAATTCTGTTTTCACTTCATTTAAGCAACTCTAGTTTTACAGTGTGAGACCGTTTTAGACCAGATTTTGCTAATATACATAGCTTTGTTGCTACTCTATACAAAGTACTGCATATTTTTCCTCTTGTCATCTTTATAAAAGTGAAAGAAATTATTTGCAGTCCTCCATTATATAGAGTCTTGTTTCAGAACCTTCTGATTGGTACTTCTCTGACATCAATGGCAGTTTTGCTAAGGATATGTAAATGTCAGAAAATGTTTTGTTCTACCACAGACGCAGACAAATAATTGGCATCTGTTTTCTGTTGTCTAGCTGCCATTCTGTTTTCTGAAACAGAAGCTTCTATTTCTCATCTAAATCTTTGATGAATTCAGTCTCTAATGGGATTCAAAGATTGTTAGAAAAAGATATAAAACATTCTGTTAAAGGAAACATAAAAAGTTTCATGATGATTTTCATGTAATTAATTGTTCAGACTGTGTGGGATTTCTTAAAATAATCCAAATAAAATCTCCAGAATGTTTATCTTGACAACTGGAAAATTCTTCAGCTGAATAATATAATTGCTTCTGGTTTTGTCTGGATATTCTTGATAGATTCTATTGGAATTCAGTTACTTTTGTCATCATCGTTACTATTTTGCAAAAATACAGCATAAGTTCTGTGTGTACAGAAGGAAGAGTTTTCAATTTTAACCAACTATTACCTAGCAAGATATAAAATTCTTATTAAAATATGTATTCAACTCCTTATTACTAATGCTTTAAAGAAGATAAAATAGCATGCTGACTTCAGGAATTCTTTTGGTTAAGCATGTGACATTAATACTCACTAACATGCTTTCAGATTTATTGCCAGTGTGGTAATTAAATCAACACCTTCGTATTTTTATACTGAAACGAAGCCAAAGTGCATTGGGTCTTGTCACTACATAGCAGTGTGCGTGATACTTAAGATATCAACACAAACACTGAATAAAAACATAATTTCTTTATTAAGTGAAGACGTAATTTTATCATGAACCGATACTCTTCTACTACATAAGCAAAATACATGGTAAAGGACTAAGAGGCAGGCAAGAGGATGAGATCAGCTTTTTTCTTCATACTTAAATGCTTTCAGTTCGTCATTAGATACCAAACGGCACCAAGAAAGCTAATTCCAGTTTTTATACTTATTGTTTGCCATTTAGACAAAGTCTCGAGTAGTCACTTAAGTTTATGGGCAATATTTGCCTAAAGTAATGCATAATCAGATACATTTTCTGCATTATTTCAGATCAGACCAACATACGTACATTAACAGTGTAATCTGCTCACAGCACACTTCTGTAAAATTCAGATCCTACAGCCTCATAAAATGAGTTTCAAATTTCTTCACTCTTGTGAAATGAAGAAGATACAGTTTTAGATAATGTGAATCTGTGCTTATTTATAAGCAGTATTGCTAAACATTTTAAGGATAAAAATACATAAATGTAGGCAGATATTTGCTTCCAGAGCCCTGAATGTACAAGAGCATTTATCTGGTGTAAGATAAAACTTGTTATGGGGTCATTGTCTTTTCATGTATCATACATGTGAGACATTTTCATCTCAGTCTGATCCTGTGGCCTGTGTGAATTACTGAGGGCTTTTTTCTGTCTAGTCCCTAGCAGATTTAGAAACCAAGCCACTGCAGATCTTTATCAGATACTTTACTCTGGTCTGGGACTGATAGGGCAATGACACATAAGTAAAAAAGCACAGTTACTCTCTCATGCAGAGCGCTTTGATGCTAGCAGGAAAAGGTGGGAAAGTTTTGTTTTGTAGAGCCGTTATTAACTGCACCATTTATAAGACAAAATGGCAATAAATGCATTTACAGAATTGTAAACGTGTATCATTGAAATAATGAAGTCTCACCAAAGTAATTGTCTCTTTCTCCCAAAACTTGCTGGTTTGGTTATGGTCAAGAATAATTGGCTGAGGCGTCATTTTAACTTTACAGTTAGTTACCCCGCATCCCCGGATTTGACCTTCTTCATCAGCCTCAGTTACTATTCCTAGTTTGACTGTATGCTTACTTCTCTCATTTTATTTTATTTCCTCCTCCTTTAAAACTTCCATTACAAAATAATTATCCTCTGTGCCAAGTAAAATCTTGGTGAAATACTCTCGATAATTCATTCAACTTTTCTAATATCAGAACATGGACTGCAGCATTTCAAACTGATCTGCTATTTCTAGAAATTTTCCTGTTTTATTAGTCTAGTTAATATTAAGAACAAAGAAGAAAAAGAACAAAACCTGTGTTATGGAGAACAAGTCCATTTTCATAGAATTTTTTGCACATTTAATGTCTTGCTGATTCTGTTTGACACCTGAATAGTTGGTCCCCAAAACTTTTCTACTTTTTCTTTTTTTCCCAACTTTGCAGGCTAATCTAATAAAACCAGTGTCTAATGACCTCTTTTTTAACCCTTGTGGCTGCAGCAGCACTACCACTATATTAGTGGTATTCACTTCTCTACTGCAATTTATAAAAGACAGGTTTTGAACTCTTATCAAAGCATAAACATATTGCTACCAATCTCTCCATCACGGAAACAGCTACACAAACAAGCATCATTAAAAAGTTCACCCTGTAGCAGAATCTTATTCTGTGTGAACACTCTGGCCAATTTAAGTTTATGCATTTTTCTATGAAGTGCAAATCATGCAAAAAAACCTGTTGCTGTCCTGTGACTCAATAACTATTAAGCTTCAGTATACACTTAAAGACATATGGTGGCATAGCATAATTCAGTGAAAAGGCAGAAGATGGTGTATTTCAGGTTTCTTAAGTTTATTGTAGCAGAATTCTACCTAATATATTTTGAAGTGTTGTGAACTGAATTTTTACTTTGTAAACACTTTTAAGAAGGTTATTTCCATAATACAGAACCTAAAACTTCTTGATTTTATTATGTTGAAATATTTAGATGTATGCTGCAGTTTTTATAGTATTTCCCACTGAAAATGTTATAGCCTTACATCATCTGAAAAGATTACCTCAATACCTCTAAAATTTCCTTTTCTGAATGAATTCAATGGAACTGCTATATAGCATGCTTCTATATGTTGTATGCATGCTATATATTAGTTAGCATGCTTCTGTGAGGCAAGGCATATTACAGTGCCTTAGAAGTTGTTTATTCATCCATATTCCCCCTTTCAGGATGGAGTCTATGCCATCTAAATCTCCCATAGGTCTTATGATTATATTTCTTCCTGATCTGTAGGTTTATCTGTGTCATTCGTATGAAGTAGTAAGTTCATCAGGATTGAAAACTAGAATTTCCACAGGAAGTGTACAGATATGAGGAAATGTACCTTTAATGTTGAAATAATTCGAGGTAAAGCATTGCTTGTGATTTTGACAAATCTGGAGGGGAAAAAAGTTCTGCACTTTCACTCCCCAAAATTAAAGTGAACTGTTCTATTTTTAAGGTTTGTCCACTGTGTTTTGACTTATTAATTTTATTTTTTGGCATTATTATTTCTTTATACCATCTGAAATGACTTATTTCTGTCCCCAGGTAAAATGCTTCCTTTTCTGATGTCTGTCTTTTTCTTGTAGATCAGAGTGCCAATATGGCCATGCTCTTGAAAAGGAAGAACTGAATACACAGCTCATTTACCAAGGCAAAAGTGTTTAACTATGACCTTAAGCACATGCTGCTGCTTGTTAGTTCAACTGAAGCTACACAAACATGATAAAAGGTAACTGACCTTTATTCTGTGCTCTAGGTATCTGTTTGATGATGATCTCACTTTGTCCAGGGGTTTAACAAGTGTTTACTTTATAACTCTCTGATTACATGATCCTTTTTTTCCCCAACTCTCTTCCTTCATCATATGATACAGCTTTTTCTTAAGTCTCTGACATTTCAAGTGAGGGTCACTGTATTTATGCAGTGCCAAGAACTAGGAATAGTCTTATGTGCTGAGTGTGCTCTTCCCCATTGTTCTGCAAATTAGTCAACATGAAACCAAATAGTGATAATGTGTTGTTATGATTAAGGTTAATAAGCTACTGATTATCTCCATAGACTACAATTCCAGACACATTATTTAAATGGATTGCTTTTTTGAACTAGTTGATAAAAGATTCAGATTTCCCCTTGTAGCGATAAAAGACATTATAAACCTTTAAAGGCATAGGGAAACATTATACAACTGAACAGTTTACTCTGTTCTATGCTTTGCAGATTTATCTTATGTGATAATAGAACACTATAGCTCCGGAAACAATTGTTAAAAAAGGATGCTCCTCTATGTCTCTGGGACAAATCCACTTGAATAAAACCCCAGCTTTCTTAAGCAGCCTTTTGTACCTTTCTGGTGTGCACAGCATATTTAACAAATGATGCTGTTCAGTTAACCTTGCTTTCTAAACTTTTTCAACATCCAAGGCCACTAGTTTTACATAATCTGCTTTCTATTAGCAGTGATCTAAACATGAATTAAATAGCTCAAGTCTTCCAGTAAAACCACTAAGTACACACCAGTTTATAAACTTTAAAACAAGCATATTAACAAACAAACATAATTTTAGTGAAGTCCTTGGAAAAACTACCAGCCTGCAAAACACTTCTTAAACGTTAAAATGAACAAGTTTAAAAAAATCCCTATATATGTTTATAGGACAAATAAATCTCAGAGCAGAGATAGCATATCTTTGAATTACTTTCTTTTTGGCCCACTAATAGATTTAAAACACATTTCAGATCATTTGCAATATTTTTAAATGACTAACAAGCATACCTTTTCCTTCTGTAGCTCTGGAAGAGGATAATTTCCTTTGGAATTCACAATCAAACCTAAATTTCTCCTAATGACAATTGCGTGATGCATTTTTCACTAGTCCCAGGAAAAAAGCAGCACAAGAACTTTCTCTGACTTCTTAGCCAAGAGTTCTGTGTGCTACCAACTGGGTCATTACTGACAAGCTTGTATTTTTATGCTTTATCACACTAGTTGACACTCACATACCTCAAAGAAGAGCAGCTGAACATTGCTCTAAGAAAGGGCACTTGTTCTGCCAAAAAAAAAACCACAAAAAGCAAAAAGCAAGGTGCATTGTGCAGAAGTGCTTTGACAATCAATTATTAAGAATCCAGATATGACAACTCATATACATGTATTTAAGTTGATAACCTTTGGGCACTTAATCCCCAGAGATCACAGTAGTGGCAGAAGGATCAAGGTCAGTGATAAAGAAATCAAAGTGATGGCGAAGACCAAATACCATCTAGTCTAGCCCTAAGAAAGAAAAACTTGCAGTGGCTTTATTAATCTATGTGGTGTACCATGCGAGAGCACCTGTAACAAAGCAAGTTAATTCTCCAAATTCCTCTCTTGCATTTGTTTTGAGAAGTCTCTCTTGCTTCTGTTCACCTTTTTGTTATAAAGCATGTACCTCAGTTGCTAAGTTCCCAAGTTTCAGTCATTGCTTATTAAATTTCTCTTGCTTACCTTCTTCCATAAACAGCTCCACAAGACATAAATATGAAGTCATTCAAAAAACAGGAAAAAATGGATTCATGGTACTTGACTGACAAACTGTAAGGTTTTTTTAAGCATAATGGAAAATGTAAATTATATGCCTGTATCAGAAGATGTTTGTGTGAAAAAGGCATAATAAGGTAATTCTTTTCTTGTGCATTTTTAAAGATGGGGTGAAAATTTTCTTTTTCCTGAGTGAAATTGGTATAAAATATTTCACTGTTAGCAACTGAATGCAAAATTAAAATTCAAGAGCTGGTGCTGCAAATATTCAATTTTGCATGTGTAAGGCACTTCAATAACAAATATGATACAATATGTGTCTCAGCATGTCTCTCCTACTTAGGCAATTTATTAAATCTATATATAACTACCTATATAGAATAATTAGCCCAACAACCCACTGTGATCACTGAAATTGTCATTATTACAGTTAAGATCAAGAAATATCCTTTCTAAATATCAATCCAAAATTAATAGGGGAAAATTAGGGCTACAAAATTCACATGGTGACAAGAATTCTGGAAATTATGCACCAGGTAGACACAAGCAGCTTTTTCACTCACAGTACTTTAAAATTGTATCCCACTACAATTTCACTAGATACATTGGGAGTAAAATCAGGTCTTAAAATATATCAGGCAGATATAAGCAAGTGATTTATTTTTTTCATTAAAATAATTCTCTCTTTTGTTTCCTCTGAAAAAAAAACGTTTTCGTAGAACAAATCAGAAAACTTGTTTAAAACCTCAAATGAAAAGGGTAAAGGAGAGAGTTCGTCATCTAGAAAATAAAAAGAAATGACATTGTTTAAAAAGAGGCAAGAAGTGTGGTATTGCTCTGAGAAGATTATAACAAGGCATGCCACGTTTTTTGTCCTATGCTATTGTAGGTTTGGAGTACTTTACTGTGTCAGACGAGTCATGTGTGCTCTGTGTAGGTGCAATACATCATGAGCCATTAAATATACAGGCATTAACTCCAAGTCAGAACTTTCTCTCAATTGCTAGGTTCTGGGAGAATAATTTGGAGAAGTGTCATTACATGCTTGTCAGGTTTTTACACATTCTCCTGATAGGCAGCCACTATTAGTCACTGACTAATATGCTGGGACTTTGGACTACATGGCTCCCTTTGAGCTCTTGATTGACTCCAGGCTGGTTTTAGGACTTCCCTTGACACAGGCTGTAGACAGTACAAATGGGACTTGGAGACACTGAGACATCACTTTTGTTTGTGTTGTCAGATTTGGAGTGTAGTTATGGTGGGAATAGAAGAGGCCCCTTCTTTGCCAGCCTTCTTTCTGTAAGGAGTGCAAAGTGAATGAAAAAAGACAAGCCTACTGCTCTGGCATGCTGGGGATATAAGCTTCTCCTAAAGTATTTCAGAGTTGCTCCCTGGAACAAAAGGGGAGAAGGGAAAGGATGTCTCTGGGGAGTCATAATTCATGTTCCAGTCTGCTTATTGAATGCGGCAGCTCCTTGAAAGATTCATAGATTTTAAGGTCATTTATGATTGTCTTGCCTGGCTTTTGTGACACAAGCCATAGAATTTCATCCCTTCAGTGTTGCTTTCCAACCCATTAGGATTATATATTATCTCAAGTATTTAATGATTTTCCAGTAATAAAAGAAATAAAAAATTAATGGCCATAAACAGCAACTTGTCTGTTGCTACTAAAGACCAGAGAGTGCAGTGTTGCTTGTCAAGTTTTAAGTCATTTGAGAGGAAAAATAAATATCTAAAAATACTTTGAAAGCTCCTGATAGGCTTTCTTTGTGTAAATTGAAGGCAGTGAAGGGAAACAAAGCAGTCTGTCCTATTATCTCTCTATCTGGGGGAACAGTATCCATTCCTCCGTCTGTGCTGGCAGTGCCCTTTGCTGAGTTACTGCCACAGATGTAAGCAAAGGGGCACAGAGAAGAAGCAGAAGTGGCAGTATTATCATTGTAGAAGATGAATGTAGTGGCACTTCTAATTTATTTAGTATTCAGGATTTCGACTTTAATTAGGATTCTTTTGTCACATCATTCATCAAATGCACTTGAAAGAAATGGAAATTAACACCAAAGTTTCTGTTGCCTCGGGCATGCTTTTAGTACTTCTACTCCTTTTGGTTTATTGTTGTTCAGTTCAGTGAAATAGTTTGCTTGTGATAGCTCACTTAGCTGTAACTGAATTTCAAAAGAGGTGGAATGAATACATGCTCTTTAAAAGCTGTTTTGTGAAGACCCTGTAGCTCCTAACACCTCTTTTATCGAAAAACAATTATTTTTTTCTCTCTCAGTTTTTCTTTTTTCTTTTTTTTTTGACTGACTTCTGTGTTGTATAATGTAACATGGTACACCAGCTTTCACCCTAAGAAGTCATTATCTAGCTAGCTAGCAGAGGAAAACTTTGTGACTGCTGGAATGCCTGTAAGTCACAAATTGCCTATTACTTATGAATTGCACTTGTGCTAAGATGAAATAATATACCTTATTTGCTGAAATCATTCCTGTTTAAGGTGAAGCTCAATATATCTGCAGTACTGCTGTCTGCATGGGGAAAAGTTCCTACGATAACTATTAGTCCAGCTCCATGCCTAACACAGAGCAAAACAGCAGCTATGTTGATAAATGGTGCTCCTTATATCCAGAACTTCCAGCTCATATAATAGAGGTCCAGTTAGACATTTGAATGAAAAGAATGTGAACCAATTTTACCATCTGAGGCTACACATCATATCAGCAAGGCTACTACTGTCAGCACAAAAATCATTAGCTGGTGTCCAGAATTCATGCTTGTTTTAAAATCAAAAGGTTTGTTAAGCAAGTACTTCTGAGAGCTCTGTGACTAATGAAGCCTGGTTTGTGGTGCATGTGGAGATGAACTGCAGAGTCTAAGCAAGTGCAAATTCTGTCTGCAGTCTTTCAAGCAGTTTTGGAATTTGAAGGCTTTTTCCTTCTGGATTCTCTGGTGCCCAGTGAGATGTGCCATTATATGTAACTTGCCCATAAGTAGCTTATCTTTCTCTCCTTCTTTTTTATGTTTTCTGATTGCTGATTTAAAAAAAAAAAAAAATCAATAGTGAAGTTCAAAGAAACTGCCTCTTTTTGTGCCGTCTTCTCATATGTTCCTGAAAGTTAAATGGATGAAGAAGTAGAAACATCTCTTACACATCCACTCCCACATAATTTTTAATCAGAAATGTAGCTAATACCCAATGGTAAAATTTGGGGGTATTTAAAACTTGCATTCTTATTACCAAACCTTTTCTATTATTTTGCAAAATATCTCTCCAGCTTTTTGTCTTTGTTACAGGAGCTAGAAATTACACTTCAAAAAAGCAGACATCCTGTTAGAAAGCATTTGAGGCTACAAGTTGGATATATACTGAAAAGTTATCACTATGACAAGCCTACAACACAGCCAGTGCTTTGAAATTGGAGATAGGTTTCGCCTCTACAAAATATTTAGCACACTTTTCAAGGGAGCTATAAAATGATAAATAAGAAACATTTGAGAATTACCTATAAGCTCATCTACCTCCTGGCTGAATCAACTAAATGTTTCAACTAATATAAGTGGGAACAGGACCAAACTCCTCTCAGGTTTCTGAACACTATAAAAGAAACAAGACACTTTACACCATCATACAAACATGAGAAACTCACGTTTCAGGACCCCTTCTTTGCACTGACTTCTGCAATATAGTATCTCTGAAGTACAGTATTTCTAAGAACTCAAAATACATATTTTAATTATAACACAAAAATGGGGTTTATGTGTTTAAGTAAATTCAGCTAGTTAAAGATTGTTTCTGTAAATGGTACATTGAAACATGGTATATTGGTGAAATTATTATGGAGATCAGTTTAGTCTTAAGGAAAAATACTGGCAGCAGAAGCTGCAGTGGTGACTAAAAGAACTCTTTTATAATAGGACATCATGAACACAGACTTTGTGAATGCCTAAAGCCAGTTCTGAGTATAAATAACCTGTAGCTCTGAAAATATTATCTATGCCTTGTACTTCAGAGCTGTCAGTCAGTATTTTTGATCATTAGCCATCTGTGATTATTCTAATTTTTGCCAGCAGGAGAAGGAACTCTTTTCCACCAGGGAGCTCTGTTATTACAATATAATTTATATGTAAAGAGCTCATTTCATTAGATGAAAAAAAAAACAACCCAACTTTTTACATAGGATTTTTTTTTTCTTTTTTAGTTTGAAGGAAACTTTTAGCATTAAAATATTTATTTTCCATTTCTTTTTATATTGATAACCTTGGCATGGTCCATGTAAAAGTAATTAACATCTTACTGGTGGGTTAACAATAATTCTGTGTCTTGAGCTTGGTTTTCGTTTAGCATCCAGTATGAAAGTTTTAGAAACTGAATCAATTATGGACCTGAAGTATTTAACTAGAGAAATTACTACTTTTCAGTTCCACTTGAAGTTACTACATTTTAAACCCTAACTATGCCTTTGCCATATGCTAGTTAAGAATCCTTACAGGGTCATTTTAGATTTGCCTCCCATCAGTCTGTTGAGCAAATGACTTTATAATGACCTTTTTTTGCACTAGGATTGACTTGCTGAAATGAAAATGTTGCATCTCCCTGATTTACTAAAATTAAACTGCCCAATATTATAGTATAAAGCTCTTTTTTTATTGGCATTGTAAACACTGACATTATAAATTAATTTGGTTCATAAGAATGCTAGCAAAAAATATATTAGTTTATAAATTTTAGTTATCTAGTTCTGAATTTCCCCCCCCCCCCCCCCCCCCCCCCCCCCGACTATCCCTGTTTTTTAATGGTGTCGGGTGCCTGTTGCCATTATTTTGGCCTCAGATCTTGGAGGTCTTAAATTTGAAAGTATTCAGGTGAACTTAAAAATAAAATCCACACCAGTATGGCTGTCTACACACAATGCCAGTGTTTAATATACTCAAAAGGCAATAGAGTTCTGTGTATACCAAAAATAGTTCTTATGCTTTTATATGAGTATACAGAAGTCTTCTGTTTCATGCACCATAACTGTGGTACAGATAATGTCTGTATTTTTAGCTCTTCCCTCACAGATCTGCAAGAAGCCTGTTCTAAAAGCAATGAAAATTGACTACTGCAGTTGAATTGCCTTTTCTTGGTATAACTAAGCTTTTGAGGCTGTAATTACATTACGTTCTCAAAGTAACTTACATTATGTATTTGAATTCTGAATTTGAATCAGTTGCATGATTTAACGTATAAGGTCAGATGAATAGTCACTGTCATTTGTACTTCAGCATTTACAGAGCATTCTGTTTTACCCTCTCTGACTGCACGATTTTAGGACTTACAGATATGCTGCAAATAACAGCTCTTCCAACAAGTTTAATCAGTAGGATGAGGTGAATTTTAGTAAAGAGTATGAGAATTAGTTATAAAAACTCTAATTGAAAGAAAAATACTCATATTGTGAGAACATACAATTTTTCTCTAGAGTTATAAGGCAAAAACAATCAGGAAAAAGATGGATTTAAATAGAAAGAAAATTTTAATGTAATAATTGCTTGTACTAGCAATTACAGTTGGACTCTAGTATTAAAACCTTGCATTCCCAGATACCTTGGATTTGCACGTATATATCACCTTACTGTTGTATAACCTGATTCTTTGTAAGGAGATACCTAAGCAATAGTAGTCATGGAAAAGATTTCTTTCCCCCCTCCTCATACTTTTATTTTTTTGATAACTACTGAGGGATATGCTTTTTAGCATTTTCAGTGCTTTGCAATACAAGGTTCTCTCTTCATTTCATAAACATGTGGTACCTTACACTATTCATACAACTCAGCAAGAATAATTATGTAAGGCAAAAGACCTGTCTTCAGAATATGATGTCCACACTACAAATAATGGAGTGGGATGGAGTTAATTCAGGTTAGCTCTTGTCCAGTCCCATGAAGTGACAGGTCTCCTGGAGCAACACCTCTGAGCCAGTTTTGTTTAGAAGGAGCCAAATCCATTATGTAACTCACAGCTGGGACATTCACTTCAAAAGTGCAGGGGTAATATCAAACACTAATGCAGACACAGCTGCAGCTCCCCTGAGGTGTCTGCTTCTCTGTCATATTCGCTGAAATTGGCCAGTGACTATATTTATCGAAGGTCATGCACACTTAACATCCATCATAAATATATAAACCACCTTCTTCTTAATAAATAGCCTAAAAAAAAGTTAAAGTGTTTAATGAATATAACACTCCATAAGCACCTCTAAATGTGTAGGTTACAACAAAGTAACAGCAGAATTCATCAGGTTTTTTAAATTTTTGACAAAATTGCCTTCACAAACTATTTTAATTCTGTTAAACAAAAATATCCTTGGGACAAGCTGAAAGTAATTCACTTTTTACCTCTTTATTGCCAAATTTGATTTGATTTGATTGAATCTATATTTATCCTCATGTGGCTCCTGGAGCACTCATGAACTTCCATAATTCCAGTCTATCAGGGCAAATCTGCAAGTAAAAAACCTCACTTTTGTCAGCAGGTATTCAATGAATGGCAGGTGGCAAATAAAGCACTTAGTGAATTGTTTAATTACATTTCTCTCCCATCTCCCAGAACTTGAGAAAGTTTAAGAAAGCTGGAGAAGAGCAAAATGGATTTATTTCTTGCTTTCATTTTGCTCCAGCACTGCTTACTTTTCAAAAAGACTTGCTGATATAATTTCACTGCCTTTCATATATGGATGATATTTAAACTAGTACAGCAAAGGGTGTATCGTAGCATAGCAGAGATATACATCACAAAAATGTGAAAACAAAGAGCTAAATTTGCTGTAACTACTCAAGAATATAAAGAAGCTCTTAACCTGAGTGAGGTGACATGGAATGCAAAATAAAATCCTTTTAAAAATAGAAATTAAGGTTAGCAAGTGTGGCTGTAGTTGCATTTTATACTATTGGTTCATTTCATAGAATTACATTAATACAGTTCTATAAGAAAATAACTGGAAATGTCAGTCTTCAGCTCAAAAACATTTTTCACTTACACTGTTGTTCTTACTATATTTCATTGTTTCATACAGCAAACAGGTCACAGAGGATAATGCATACCCTGCATTTGAGGTTGGGCTAGACTCTTGAACAGAGCAAACATTCTTCTGTGAATGAAGCTGCTGAAGTTTCCTATGTATAATCACTGTCTATGGCTGCAGCAATTTAAAAAACTACTTAATTTTGAGAGAATCATGCTTAATTTCTTTCTTTTCAAGGCTAGATTTGGTAAATTTAGCCTGTGAAGTATCAACTGTATTTATGGGAACACATGAAGGAATCTTTTCGTGTATAGCTATGTCAAGAACCTTTACCGTGTAATAATCTCAAGACTGCTAAATATCTCCATAAAGCCGTAGTTAGTCTGGAGATATGAGCAGATGGAGGATCAAAATGGTAATTATGTGCTGGTTTTATTTCGTCTTCTTTGTAAAATGAGGTGAGTGATACCTACTTGTTCCTAAGAAAATCATGCGAAGCCTTAGGCAGTAAAGATTAATTGTGATAAAGGATAACTAAAGGAAAATATATGAATAAAAAGATCAATTAAAAAAAGGTGAAACTAGAACTTGACTACTCTTTGTTGTTCAGAATTCACATGGAGACAGTGTGTCTGTGGCTTGCTTCATTTTTTAACTGTCCAATGTTACACAACATGAATTTCTGCAACATGCAGTTGGCATTACGTGCCATTTGAGAGATTCATTACCAAACAAAACAAAACTTGATCTAAGAATACTCTTTTTCTAAGACCAGGAGTGAACTAGCTTTTCAGGACCAGGCCAACTCTTCCAGTTAGTCCCTTCAACTTGGAGATTTTCTATGAAGAATGGTTTTGGTTCTACTCCTCTGTATTTTTAACTTCCCCCACTCTGTCGTTCATCCTGGCATTTTAGCAATTCTCTATGCCTCTTAGTGTATTGAACATGTAGCCATACTATCCTTATTATCAGAAGAAGTAGCACGTTTGAGGTTTTCTGATGTTAACATTTTACGGAATTATCTGATATCTGACTTACATTTTATCTGCTTGAGATATTAAAAGGAAATAAAATTGCTTAGAAAAATGCTTCTGCTACAACTTATCTTGTCCACCCAATGTTCATTTTCTTCATATGTGTGTGTTACCAGTCAGGTACCTGGGAAAGACCAGGGATTCCATAGCCCACTGAAAGACCACAAGAGAGAATTTCCTCGAGAAGCTAGATGCAGTCCTCTTGCTCAGGTTCTGAGAGAGGTGGATGGTGTGTGAAGAGATGAGGTCTAATATTCTTTACTTTCCATTTTCAATTAAAGGTATAAACCACTGAAGGTGAAAGCATGCGTTTCAAATGCTAACCTAGGACTCAGAAGAGAAGGGTTCGACACGCTGATGTGCTACACACTTCTTGAGTAAGTAATCTGATGTTTCATTTCCCCATCTTCAAAAATTGCATCTATTCACTTATATTCTCTGGATTTCTTTCAGGTAAATATATGTAAATATTAACGTTCTGAAGAGGATTACATTTAGGATGTACATATGCAAGAAGTTCTTGCATATGTCTCTGGATTTAATACCTTTAGTTAGAGAATTCAAGTCTGAGTTTACATTGTTTACTGTATTACACATTTTGCTTGACTAAGAATGAAAAAATGAGTTATTACTCTGAAACTTAACAAGATACTTTTATTCCTACTTTATGATGAAGTAGGAAGATTAGTTCCAAGGCCAGTAGAAACCAAATACATTATTTAAAAAGGAAACAAAATACAGCCTGCTGGGCATTCATTTGCTTAAAGAAGTTCTTTGTATTTACAGTTCTGAAAAAAAAATCCTTTGAAGACGTTCAGTAAATCCTTTAGAGCATACAACATTCCTGTTTACTCAAGGGAGGCACCAGAGAGATTACCCAAACAAAAAGTGAAACAAGAATTTAAGGAATATAATGGGGAAAATTCTTTCCATGGTGGTTCAGTAGCAGAGACAGTCACCTTCAAAAGATAATTAAGAACTTTGGGAGACTGAAATCACCTGCAAGGGACACTCTGGGACATTTGGTTTCTGAATTTATGTATCTCAATTTGGTATCTAAACTTAGGTAGCTATGAGCTTGCTCCTTTCCCTACTGCCCCCATTTTATTCTACTTTTTCTTGAAAAATGTATCCAGTGTGATATAATTCCATTAGCTGTGACTCTTTTACCCCAAAACCTTCATGTTTTCTTCTTTTAAGTTTGTTACTGATAGTTTCACTAGTGAGTCACTGTGAAATTATTTCACAGAGGTATAGTCTGAAACGCTCAGACTACACAAAACCAGGATAATTATATACATTTTTGTGGCACTGTAGGAAGTTTTTAAAAGATTTATTTTTTTTCTTACTTCTGTCTTTTCATTACCCTAATGAAAAAAGGAAAGAAAATAACAACCCTAAAAAAAAACTAAAAAAATAACCGTTCTTTCCCACATTCTCTTTCAATGTCTCCTCAGAAAGACTATAATTCTCCAGAGCTGATTTTCCTAATAGAGTCCTCCCTGACTATGTTGGACAAATGTCATGTCCCCTGGCTCTCTCCATCTTGTAATGAAAATAGACCTATTGCCAGCTACACCTTGCTGATTGCTTCCTACCCGCTGCTAAGGATAATTTCTGCAGTGTAAGTGAAGACTTCAGTGGTTGCTGTAGGAAAAAAAAGCTATAAGAAGGGGCTGCTATTCAGTATTCTCATAAAACAGCCAATAAAGAAACAGTCCTGATGAGCTGAAAATGTGTAAAGTGAATAAAGGATCTTTTAGTTTTCACAATCTTAACTGTACCAGACGTACGTGTTTCAACGTGAAAAATGAATCACCAATGTTTGTATCTTTTCATTCCCTCAATCCAATACCAAGAATTTGTGTGCATTCTTTTGATGTTATTGCTTTGGCAAATACTTCTAGATTGGTTTCTATAAGCAATAAAGGGATTTCCCATTGTTACTCTGCAGAATATTGTGGCCATTCAGAATGCTGATGCTCATATTTGTTAATTGCCCCCAAATCTACTTCTAGATAACCTCTTACTTCTGAAAGAATGAGTGAGACAAAAGCATTCCATGTGATTTACAGTCATCAGGGATTTGGAGTGGGAGACTGAAATACCAGCAGTTCCAGACAGGAAAGAATTGTGTATGGCTTCAAATCCACTTATTTTGCCCCATCCCTGCTATGCAACAGGTCATACTGTGAGAATATGACACACTCTTGGGAGCAAAAGCATTTATCATTTACTTTTCCTCATTCACTCTGTGTAGATAAAGGAAAACATTTCTAGCTACTGAAAGACTGCAGTTTTATTTTGCCTCCATTTTCTTGGCACAGCCTGGGATTTAATTGTAATGTACATGGACTAGAGGTGGAAACAGTCACTAAGAAACTAAGTGCCACTAAGGAAATGCATTGTCCTTATAATGACGAGCCAGCTGACAAATCCTAGATGAGACATTCAGTGCAACTTCTAGACCAGCAATTCAGGAATGTTTGGCTACTTACCTAACTTTTTACCTGCAGACTATACATACAACTTCTGTCTTCTGCAAAGAGAGAAGCAGAAGATCTTCATCAGTAATCAATGTATTTTACATACCCTAACACTAAATCCGTCCCTTATTCTTATGGGTTAGGGTCCTCTCCTCATGCTTTGTCTCTTTCTCTCTCTCTCTCTCTCACACACACACATTTTCCTTTTGTGTGTTCTGAGTAATATTTGAGGCATCTGCTAATGCTAGTTTAAAATACTTTCTGCAGCTTGACAGCTAGTATTTCATCTTGTTCCTCTCTAATTATCATTCCAAATTTATCTCTTTTCACACTTCTTACCAGCCTTGTCAACAAATTGTTTAGACATTGTAAAATGCTGGTCCTGCTTCCAAGTGATATTGCTCTTTAACATGCTCAGACACATTCTCCAATTGCTTTAGCTCTTTTCACCTCTAAAGACATAATAATCTAATTCATAAAGCTTGAGGGAGGCTCAAAAGGAGACCTCTTTACAGATACTACCAAACGCATGCTAAACCTTTTATTCACCTGGCTGCTTGGACAGCAGCAGCAGCTCACCAAAATGAAAACAGATCCACAGGCTGGTCTGGAGGGCCCAAAGCCTTAAAACACACAACTGCAGTCCACAGGAAGAGAAATGAAGTAAATGCTCCAAATTATAAACACCAAAGTTTTTACTGAGCTCCCAGAGGGCCTGACAGGTCCTGAAAGATCTAAAAGTCCCCAGCCTGCTTTGGAAATCGATAGGCTTCCTCTCTTTTCAGGCTTCAGCCCATTCAGCCAATAACGCTGAAAGACTTGTAAGACAATAAGACTTTCAGCTCCATCCTTTATCCATACTGCAGTGAGCCACACTGTTTTGTGTTTTTTTCCAGTTAACTCTTGACTTTTCAAAACATCAGAATTCATCAAAAGTTACTGAAGGATTTTGTTTTATCAAAATAAGAGAACTTTTTGTTTTTCAGTGTTTGCTGAGTTCTGGAAGGGGAACAAAGAATAGTTTGATTTGTTTCAAGTCTCTTCCAATGAGCAGTTCCCAGGAAGGTCATCACTTCCGAAGCAGAGCTGTCAGCAGCATCGTTCCTAACCTGAATGGTAGTTTACCATTGGTTTTGAGGTTCTTTTGAGGTTCCCATGGTCCAGAAGACTTGGAGTGTCATTTTAGCACACTTGATGTAATTTCTGTTCAGCTGTAATCACAGTTCTGGGAAGCTCTGGATGCTAGCAGGGAGGTATTGTGCTTCTATTCAAAGCCATCTTTACTAATAACAAGATTGTTGCTTATCTGCTAGTGGTGCAATGAAACCAGCCCCAACACTTCAAAGCATTAGTTATTTTTGGATTTACAGCAGTTTTTATCTATCTCTTGAAGATGATGTTAGGGAGATAATGATGCTAATAATAATAATAATAATAATAATAATAATAATTATACTACCAAGCCATTGAGTTTTGCTCTCATTGAGAGAAAAAGGACAGCAGCTGTCACAATATATAAGAATAATTTATATATTGTATGATTTATCCTTCTAGGGTTATGGATATTGACAAGTTAACATCAGGGCAAAGGTAGATCAGGCTGTCAAGTTTCTGTTTTCTGCTTCTTGCTCTTCTCTTTACAGAGATTGATTGATTTGATTTTAAAGAGCTTAGTTACATCACAGTGACACAGTCTTCAATATGAATTAAAAGAATAAAATTGTTTATTTAACTTGTTTTCATGTTGACAGGATCTTTGCACTCCAGGCAATCATTCTGTTTTCCTTACAGCTTTGCTCTTTAGCCATCCAGATGTAAACTGTCACTCAACCCTGTCATATGTTTTTCTTGATGTTCCCTATTAGTCCCTACCACACTTATCAGCAATCCAACAAATGTGGATACCCTTTTGTCAGTCAGTTGCTCTGGTTGTTTGCCATTTGAGACTTTCTCTCCCTATGCTATGCTAAGGAAATTTCTTAGTGGGCATCAACTTTACTATATAAGATATCAGCTAAGCCTTTGAGGGAACTTACTACTATATGATCATTTAATTAAATTACTGTAGACATCCAAAATGAAAATTACACATTTGAGCTGTTCAAAATTTTTGATGGAATTAGGAAGTTATAATCCCATTTAGGGGTCCACTGTGCTTGAGCTCTTTCTGAAAATGAGATTTAAATGTTTTCAGGATAAAATTTAGGTAATCACCAAAAATTCTGAGCTTCTTTTACACACCAAACTGTCCCATCAAGCATTTCCAATCTCATCTCTTGCTCATGCATTTTTAATCTCCGTTTTACTCTATCTTTTACACTGATTTTAGTACAGCATTCAAATTTGTGTGTGCATGTTTTTATTTTTATATATACAGAGAAATGAGATGAAATGATCAAAAAGGCTGCACAAAAAAAGGATATAATCCAGCACTGAAGATGTCAGAAATCAAAAGATTTCAGGCAAATTATGTGCTCTACAAGAAGGTTCTGACATGATGTGGCAATCTAGATTGGATTTCTGAAAAAAATGTCAGGGCAAAGTTGTGTGAAAGCAAAAATCATAGAGTTACTTAGAAAGGGAAATTTTAAGCACATATTTTTGAGGGGATTTATTGAACTTAATGGCTCCTTATGTGTAAAAGCTTGAAAATAGATTGCGAAGTCATCATAAGTAAAAAAGCATAAAAAATTGTATTGTATATATGTCCTTATTCATGAAAATAATTAACTCTTTAAATCTCAGTGATGTGAGTGAATTTTAGCTAGTGCTTCAGCATTAAAGTAGACTGATTTATAGTAGAAATACAGAGTTCATCATTGTCTTTTCTCAAAAATAGGACCTTAAAAGGCTAGGCTGTTTCAAAACTACATAGCTAGAAAGAAATTTTCATCCTAGCAAAGTTCTACACTTTGCAGCTGCATTTTTGCTGATTCTCTGAAGTTAGAGTTAATTGATAGACAATTTGGCCTGTGGACTTTAAATAACATACTGAAAATCTCTGTTTTGGGGAGAGGCGGGTTTAAAGTTAATTATTCCCCAAAATGACTTTTTCAACTGAGTACTAGAGATGGCAAAAATATTGCCATTGAATAAGACTTTTTTTCTGTGGAACTTTTTTCTTTTTTTTTGCTGATGTTTAACACACTGAAAGTTAAAGTCCTTTTTCATGGGATAGGACACAGCTCTTGGCCATAGTGAAATACAAGCCACTGATCAGTTCATCCATTTTATTTTGGCTACCTGAGCTTCTTTAGTTCACTTTTCAAAGACAGATGAGACATCTGGGTTAAGTAGGCACAATTGCTGAATAGAAATAGCTGATTATAAGGTTCTGATTTTGATCCCAGACTTTTAAGGCTCTTCAGCATTTCTGATGAGTAGTTTTATCTTTGAGTGTAAACGACTCTTTTTTTTTTATCTTTCAGGTCTGTGACTCTCTTCTTTACTTCAAACCAGATTTCCTCTGAGCTGGAAGGCAGGTATTATTGAAAATCTGAGACTTGGCACTCTGGCCTTCAAGTTAACTAAGCGATCTTCTAATGGTTTTTCCTCATACTGTTAGCATTTGTCTCCAGCAGCTTGCATTTTTGCTCATGTCTTTTGTTTTTCTGACTTGGTTTTTTGATAATTCAATATCATGAACCAGATTAGAATCTCTTTTCTTCATGCATTTGCCTCTTATGGTAAATTATTTCCTTTTTTCTCAGTAACAGCTGCTTCTTGCTTCAAGGCAAGATTCAATTTCTATGGCAAATACCACAGCTTCCTGGAATGTTGTTTGCCATCTTTTTTTTTTTTTGTTTGTTTGTTTTCACTGGACTTAAACTGGAAAACCACATCATTTATTAGGTATGCCCTGAAAAATAAATATCTGTAGATTTTCTAGTTCACCTGAGTTTCCCTTCTTTTCACCTCAACTCTGATCAGAAGGGAATAAATCCTGCAACATGCATACCTATAGGCTTTCTCTGGGTTTCTAAACCCCTCGTTTCTTTGAATTTCCATCATTTATTTCTGTTATGGAGCTGCATTTGTGTTTCATTTGCTTTAAAATTAGTGGAAATTTACAAATAGATGTTTAATGTGGCTATCTAAAATGAAGGGCAGTGGTTAAGCCTACTTATTTCAAGATGCTTTAAAAGAAGTTAAATATTAATTATCTAGCCTCTAATTTAGTCTGGTGATGACATAGCCCAAAATTTAAAAGGCGGACCTATTTAAATACGTATCATTCTACGGTCATATGCTCAGTGTTGTAGCATTAAATGGGAAAAAAATAATTAAATAATTCGCATCAGATGTTTAAACTAACAGTTATCCATCATGCTTATCTATCATAATTTTTTTCACATTATGAATGACAAGGCATAGATGTTAACTCTTGCAAGAATGGCGTACTTTTATTTTCTAATTACTTTTTTATTGTCTTTGTATAGATAGATATTTCATCTATACATTAGAAAACTTTTGACTACTCACTTTTGACTATTGACTAAATGATTGCATTAAATTGCACTTTTTAAAAGTGAGGATTTGTCAGAAAATGACTAGCTGGTTGTCTTTTATTCGTGGGGGGCGGGAAGGGAGGGAACACTCAATAGTGTAGTTGATCATTTTCAAGGAAGTTGACATTATTTTTTTTTAATTTAATAAGCCGTATTTTCTCTGTTCACCTATTTCTGAAAGCAGGCAGAAACTCCAATACTTGTCAGTGGCAGTTTTGATTTCAATATTTATTAAAAACTAACAATTCTAAATTGAGAATATGTTATGAGTGTATTTACTAACAGAAATAATGCAAGTAACTTAAAGACATGAGTTTCATATTTTGTATCTGGACATTCTCAAATTTTTGTAGTTTTGAGCCAATATAGGTAATATAAGGCCTGACCTGTGACCTTCCATTTACCAGTAAGCCTGGCTTTTCCAAATCAGGTCCATGTTTGGTAGAAAAATACACATTTTGTTTTTCTTGTTTGCATTCATTTGCATCATATTTGCAATTTGTAATTAATTTTGTAGTCTATTTTTTCTTGAAGTACTTCTCAGTTTATTATTATTATTATTATTATTTAATATAGCCCGTGGAACACTGAACACTGATTAAGTGTTGTATGCTTTCTGTTATCTCTGAAGCATAACTGATGAAGTATTGTGAATTTGGCACTGCGTAATGTAGCATTTTGCTTGCTGTGCAGCACTAACAAACAACACATCAGTAGTCATGCCTGTCTCTCATTTAAATGCAACCTCAGAGTCACACTGCATGTTACAAATATCTGGGAGCTGTGTGATTAGTTAACATCTTGTGCATAACCCTTAAAATTATAGCAAGTTCTCAGGAAATAATTAGCTTTCTGGATACCTCTAGTGAAATGAACTATGGCTTAGCAATGATAGGTACTGTGTATTATATGACTCCAAGGAATGGACATGAAAATTCCTTTAAAAATTAGCTTACATGTCTTCTTCATTAAGAAAAAAAAGAAGTTTTAAAATGAGAGAGAAATAAACCCTTATTTATTTATTCCTTTTTATTACAATTGCCTTTCTTTCCTATCTTCTAATTTTACATTCTTTCTTCTTTTAGCAGCTCTTGTGGTGTAGTGTTCAGCAGGCACCAGCCTCTCTGCCTGAATTCTGCTCACCTCTACTCGACATGTCTCATATGCTATGTTTGAGTAAATAGAAAAAATACATAACAGCTGAATAATCAGGAGGATGTGAAATGATAGTTTTCCTTATCAAATGTTTGAGACTTCAGTTCTTTGCGTATATTTATGGAAAGCAATATCTTCCAAACATTTTCCAAATGTTTTTTGTCTCATGAAATAATTTCCCAACCATATCCATGTGTAACATTTTAAAGCTTTTGATCCTTCTTTGAAAAGGCTATTCTAAGCTGTCAGTGTTCGCAATATTCTCTTCTAGCACTGGAAGTATCTGTATAATAACCTCAAAATTAAAATGTTTTGGAAGCTTCTAAATATAAGTTTTATAGCTGCAGCTGTCAGGAAACAGCATTTTGACAAACTTGAACTTTTTAAAGGAAAGTATCAATTTTGATTAAATGTGCTTGAAAGGTGTTTTCTTATTTGGACAAAGCACTTCAATAGGCTCACAGCATTCTCTACATTTATTGAAGTATAATATTGCCATTTGTTTCAAAATTATTTTTAATTTTAAGATTCACTAGTAACTACTATATAGACCATACCCAAGAACAGAAATATTTTTGAAACATTTCAGTATTATTTCTATTCACTTTTAAATACTTTTTCCCCAAAACAAAATTATTTTATGAGAAATCTCAATTTTTATTTGCATTCTAATTGATTTTTTCTGAAAGCCAATATTTTCTATGAAATTACAGATTTAATATATTATTTTAATAATTTTTCTGAAATATGAGGTTTGTCTAGCTGCATTGATTGTGCAAAGATGTAAGCCTGCACATACCTTTAACCATGTTGATCAAATTTAAAAACCTCCTACTAACTCAGCAGATTTTGGTCCAGTTATCTTTTCCAGTGGTCATATTGCCCACTTGATTTGATCTTCAGATTTTAGCTTTGTCAGTCATCATCCCTCAATGAAGGAGGGCTTAGTTAGGTTTCTTAAGGGTGTTAGTGATGAAAAATACAGGCATATGGACAGGTCCAAAGAGCACTGAAAGCTCAAGAAAAAAGCCTGAAGGCATGGCCTGTAAGTGATGAAGGCAAGAGAGGAATCTCAAGAAGGAAAGGGAAGAATGATACATAATCAATTGCTTACCTAGAGACAGAGAGAGTAATAAACAATACTCTGGTGGACAATCTAAATTTCTGAAACAAGCAAACAGAAAGGAGTTGTTTATTAATATCCAGATACTTGACCAACAATCCTGCTGGCATTTCAAGGATCATTCTGTTGTAGCAGTTGTTTTTCCCAATGAATACAGCTTTTCAAAGTTTCTCCTATTCTAAAATAACTATAAAGAAGGTTACTGAAATATCTTGAGAAGCAGAGGACTGAAGACTTTGCCACCATTTTCACTTTTCACCCACTGTTGATATATGGTGATGTTGATGTATGGTGTGAACCCAAATCTACCTCCTGATGGCAAAGTCATTGGTTAGGCAACCAGCCTCCTTCCCCAGGGTATAGTGAAAGTCAGACACTTCAGGAAGTGAAATAAAATGTAAGATAGCTAAATGTAGGGCTACCTGCAGCAGCAGAATTAATGGGCAGGAGAAGTCTCTAAACTTTACAAAGCTTCAGGAGAGCACATCTGGTGTTTTTCTCAGGCTCAAAATTCTCTCATATAGAAACAGTAACACCTGTTTTGAGGTACCTGATATGTGCTCACTTATGGCTGTTGAAATACAAGAGGGTGAAAAACAGCATTTTCCCGTGTGCATATAATTCTCAAGTGAATAGTTAATTGAATTCTGGACAGGAGATGTGACGGAGGAGTTCCAAGATCGCCTCATACAAATCCTACATTGGTACTCCAACCACTGTCTTCTTCAGAACACTTTCAAATGCTCCTCATAAAGGTCAGATGCTCTGCAGAAAGCAATTGAAGATTTGCTGAGCATGACAGAAAGACAAGAAGAAGGTGTTTAACTCAGTAGCTGAGGGCTGGTTTGTAAAGGATGTCAAATCTTTTCACTAAAACTGTTTCTGTGTAGGAGAGGGAGATAATCCTTTTAATGAGAACAGAAATCCAGAAGTCTTTCTGTCTGTAACTGCTGCTCCATTTCTGCATTTCTACAGCCTACACAAATTATCCATTCATGTGGTTGTTCCAAAAAAATAAAAAAGGAAACAAACCAACAAACGTTTTCTCTTTACCCCTACTTTGTATTAGATTGAGCCAGCTAGCATGTATTAGAATTGTTAAATCATTCCCCATAAAGCTTAAAAGCTTTTAATTTAAAGAATTATAAATAAATAAATAAACCACAAGTAGTGATAGTAATATAGAATGAGCCAGAATAGTTTGATGTTCTTTAGAACTGAGTGGAAGCTTCCAGTTAAATAGTTTTGCACTGAAGCTGCTAAATACTACATAAATCACTTTTTAATACTTAAATAGCTACTGGATCTGAACCCGAGAGTCAGCTGCCTAAAGATTTCTGATTCTTGTCAAAATCACTGGGTTAGCCACCTCCATATTTTAGAAATATAAACATTCACCTCTTCCACCTTATGTCCTTGTGTGTAAAACAGGAATAAAGAAAAGCCTTTTCCTTTTTTGAGAGCTGAAGTTCACTAACAGTGGTAATAGAAGGTACCTAAAATCATTTTACTCATATTTTCCACAGAGGTCAGTAAGCAAGTGCTAAGTGCCAAAATAATTCTCTGCTCTCCAAGCTGGCACTGACTTGCTAAGCTGAAGGACAGACTCTCTGGTCCATTACCCTAGCTTCTATATTTTACATTTTTGTCAATAAAAAATAATGTACAGCCAGAGTGTGAAATTTTTTTTGTATGAAGGGCCAACAAAAGGCCCATGCCTCACCTCCCTTCCAGAAGAGTGTGACACATCAACAGATCAGTCAGTGTTAATAGTTAAAACATGAGATATTCAGACCCTATGTGTCAAATATGTAGGGCTAAATTCTTGACTCTGACTGACAGTCTTGCCTGGCTGAAGAGGGCATATAGGGCAGAAAGCTGCCTTTGGCTGAGGCAGCCCAAGATAAATTCAGCTTGGAGAAATGGCAGAGTTGATGAAGAGGTTGTTTACTCACCCTAAAGAACTTTCCACCAAGATGTTATGATACTGTGACATTCTTCTTTAATTTTGTACCCTTTTCTGTGCAGCATGCCTTTGACTTCTTTTTAATAGAAGTTAAGGCATTCAGTGCCTTGACCTGAAAATAGTTTCCAGTGTTTCACTATATAAACCAGGCACACAGAAGCCTGGTTCGCGTTCCTATGGAGTGCTCCACAATATATCATTACTCAGAAATTATTTTTTCAAAGTTGTCTAATTTGTAAGTAAGAGGATCACAAAACAGGAGTTTTTCAGTTCTCCTCTTCATTGCCTTAGGGTCAATTTTTTGACCCTTTTCAGTGAAAGGGAAGCAGAAAAAGCCTTCCACTGGGGATATGGTGCTTGTTCTGACAGTTCTGGCTGAAACTAGCCAAGCCAAGCTCATTCATATAATTCCTTCTATCCTAACTCATAAGGCGCAAGAGAAAAAAAAGCAATCAGTAAAAGCAGTTTGTTACAGTTTCCTTGTTGTTTGAACTGGACTTTTGGTTAGAAAGTGGAGTTAGCTGCTGACTAAGTTTCATGGGTTTGCCTATGAGAGATGCCATATAGACTTTCTTGGAGCTCTTAGAACAGTTGGCCCTTCTTCATTGTAAGTTTATTTAAATTCTGTAGTAGGTGTTAGACAGGATTTAAATATGGGTAAGTCAAGTCCCTAACTTACCTTAAAAAACAAAACAAAACAAAAAGGTGAGTGGTAGATTCACAGATTAGCAATACCACTGTGCTTTAAGGCGTATCTTGAGGGAATTTCTTTGGAATAGTTATGACTTCAACAGGGTGTCCTGTTTTGCAGCAAAAATAGTAGTGTCCCATGTAGTCTAACCTGGTCACCAACTGCTCTTCCTGAATAGCACTTCTGCTGTTGCAATGGAGATGTTGTTTTGGCCACTTGTGGAGGAGATGATTCACTGCAAAATGCCATTTGTAGCTAATGATCACCTGCAGTGTTACAGGGTTTTCACAAAGGTAAAGCAAAGAGAAAAGAGCCACTGCTGCAATAAAATCCCCCATTTTGCTCTATTTTTCGGGTTTTGCTAAATGATCTCAGTTCAAAAAAGTCACAAACTTGCTGAAGGAGTTTCTTAATGGAATGCCTTGAGTTTTTAACTGATCTTCCCCCTTGCAGATCTCAGCCGTTTGAGAACTGAGCCCTAAGTTGTCTTTTCACAATGATCTTGTTTTTGTAAATTAATGATGCAAGTGATTTATTATGCAGCTCTTCCACTGTTGTTTCCTTTCTGTTGATCTTGATTTTTCTCCTTAATTTCTATAAACCACTGTACAGTTTCCCATAAGGTATAATTAAGCAGAATTGCTAAAGTTTTAATTATTGTGTATTATAGATGTTGAAATCAACATTAGCACTTAGCTTTTAAAAATGTGATAGTATATTTATAAGAGAGCATTTATAAACACATTTACATATAGTTAAGATGAAAAAGGTATTTGAATTGTAGTCATTAGCATTTCTTCAAACATATGGCATACCAGCAGAAGCCATGGGCCATGCCTTCATTAACTGAACACTGTTTCATCAGTATCTCAGCTTCCTGCTATGTCACCCTGTGGCGTACCCTTCTGTCCCTGAGGTTTCAGTGACAAGGGACAATATGTCCCCAAGGTGAAAATCTGGGAAATAACGCAGATTAGCCCTTAGAGGAGTTCTTATGATTATTTAATCATACTTAGGAAAGAAGTACACTGTACCACAAAAGAAGAACATTAAAAATTCTACCCCCCTACTATTTCCCATGTTGCAAGTTATGATGGCCTCTTCAGTGTACTGTCAGCATAACTACAGTGGAACTTGATAGCTTTATGCTGCCTATTTAAAGGATGACCTGTTTCAAATTTGTTTGTATAATGGGCAAAGCCTACATTGGTGCTAATAGGTATCATGGGTCAATTACTCACTGGCAATAATGTTCAGGTGATTGATCAAGATTTAACTTCTCTTAAGCATGACACATTCAGCCTTTTAATTTTGTTTTGTAATAAAAAAAAGAAAAGGAATATTCTGATAAATATCATGGTCATGTTTTATTTGTGCATTTCTCAGGTACATAAATATAAGTTAACATGACAGGAAAGATATTTGTTTTAAGTCATTAAATTCTCTCATACTCTACCTATTATCCAATATCCTTTGCTAAAAAAACACCCATATAGTTTGAAAAGCTGTTAATAGAAAGTTAAAAAAAAGGCATAATTTGTTTTGACAAGATGACACTTTTGAAAGTCAGGTTGGGTTTTGGTTTGGTTTGTTAGTTTGTTTTTTTTTTTTGTGGGGTGTAGTCTTTATTTTTCTTTAAATCCTTTTCAGCATCTCCCAGCCTCACTTTTTCTTCTCATTGTGACATAAGTAAGAAAAAAGCACTGAAGTGGGAAATAATTGTAATAAATATTTGCTCAGTTCTTTATGCACAGTGGCCTACTTTCTTGCATTTGTATTTGTTTTCTTCAAGAAGAGTTGGAGCTTTCTGCGTGTTAGTGAATACCCTCTGTCTTTGGAATCCAGTCGGTAAAGCCTGTTCGTGTTTTGAGAGGGGACAGATATCAATTACAGATGACATATTTAAACTCTATTTATAAAATTAGCTATTACAAGAATCCTTTTTCTAATATTAATAGATTTTTATATTATAATCTGTCCTATTCTTCTGCCTATAGAAAAAGATACTCTTCAATACACATTTAAGTGGAGAAATATAAACTATCACAGTACAGCCTGGTGCAGATGGAGAAAGTATTGATTTATAAAACAAGCTTTCATTTATTTCCTTAAAAGAATCTGATAAGTTTTGCTTATTTTTATATACTTTCTCACAGTTTTCGTAAGGCCTAGATATAATTGTGACAGAAGGTTTAGAAACATTCTGGTAGGTAATCACAGTAAAAGTGTTTAAATTGGCATCAGTCTGTTTTTACCTTCACTGTTTTCATTCGGAAGGAATGTGAAAAATTACAGTATTTAAATTACACCATAAAAATTACTACAGTATCCACCATTAATCAATGGTGCAATGGAAAGCTCTCATTAATTTTAAGCCTCCGACCCTGACATTTGTCTACTCATCACAGCAATCATTAGCAAAATGAAAAACAATCAACCAGGGTATCTACATTCTAATAATGTTAATGCTTTCACTGCATTACACACAAATGTCAAATGTGACAAAAAATCACTGAACTTCAAATATATACATAACAGATTTTGATATATATAAAGAACCAGTTTTTGTTATTCTCACTGAACGGCAAAATCAAAGTTACAGTGCCAAGGGGGCCCATACCATTTGCAATCTGTAGCATTTCCAATGTACTTTCAACAATATTGTAAATATTTATGGAGTTTTATAAAGACTCTATGCTTCCTTCTGTTTGTGATGCATCAACAAGACGCAGTAGGGTATCATAGGCAGATATTTACTTCTGGGAATTCCCTTTTGGACTCTTTTTGGTTGAAAACCGCTTCATGACATACAGTACCGCAAATCCCCATAAATGTACCATGCTATTATTGCCAGCTGAGTTCTTCCAAGTAAAGATGACATCAGCCATCTGTCATGTTATACTAATCCTAGGAAAGAAAGCCAAATGAAGAGAAAATAAATACCTTTCATAACTATTAGCCAAATATTTGTTATAAAAATATAACAAATTTGTATTAAAATATTAAAATCTCACTAACAAAGCTAATTATTGTAAATGAATAGTCCTTCCTGATTAAACTACATACCTAAAATGTATTTGTCTTTTTACTCACCTTAGTAAATTTTGTCATGAACATATGTTTGGAATTCTGGTCCCTTGCTACATATTGGTAGGTAAGGAAATATGCCTCCAAGTGGTGATTTTCCTCCAGACCTGCTAGCTGAACTCTGCCAGGTACCACGTAGCTATGTGAACATTCTGTGCTCTTCTGCTGAATTAAATGGAAGTTTCCCAGGATCTAGCAGGGAAGAAATTCCACTCTCCATCACAAGCAATGCTGCCAATCAGTAAGGAGAGTGTCTAAATTAACACTAACATCATGATAAGATGTTTAAAAAGCCTAAACTGCACTAGTTTCCTGCTTCATCACAGAGTAGGGGACATGTCTGTGAGGAAGCCTTTTGGATAAGCTGTACGTGGAGACTAATTCTGTGGGTTTATGCCTTATTTATATGTTGTGGGCAGTTACTTGGTAAGCACATGCTCGAAGTTTAAACTATTGTGCTTATGAGATTTCATCACAATGCAATTAAGTCTAGAAAAACAAATTTCAAGAAATAAAAAGAAGGAACAGTCAGCCAGCCCATTCCCTGATAAAAGTGTAGCATGGTACTGTCATAGAAAGTGATCCTAAAGCACATCTATGATTAGTTTAGTGGTATAGGAATTGATGCTTTTAGACCTATAAAAGTTCTTTTTGCTCTTTTAGACTTTAGAAAAGCAGCACAGAACAAAGCATTTACACACAGAACTACATAAATAAGTAAATGCATCTCCCATCTCTCCACACTTCTGGGTTTTTTTTTTTAGTTTGGGATATTCTTTTTTTTTTTTTTGGGGAGTGGGGGGGAGGGCCTGGGGGAGGTTGGTTGTTGGTTCTTTGGGTTTTTTTTTGGGGGGGGGAATTTCCCCTCTTTTTACCACTTAACATATGAGGATTTCCTTTTAAGGTAAAAATGCTTTTGGGGAT